GCGGCCCCGCCCGCATCCTCCCCAGCTTTGCTCCGTGTCTCCTGGCTGCCGGGCCGGGGGAGCGGCGGAGCAGCTTTTCTCGCCCTGGAGTACACGGGCGGCAGGACCACAAGGTCCCGCAGTGTCCTCCGGGGCGAGAAAAGCTGCGTTCGTAACTGCGGATCCGACATAAGTCGGATCCGCGTAAGTCGGGGACTGCCTGTATTGAGAATTTACAGCCCACTCAATTAGCCTCATTTGGCATAGAAACTGTAATTGACAATTTTTTCTTCCTTCTCTTTCTCATAGACTTTAAGGTCAGAAGGGACCATTATGATCATCTAGTCTGACCCCCTGCACAGTGCAGGCCACAGAATCTCACCCACCCCCTCCTAGAATAATCCTCTCACCTATATCTCAGATATTGAAGCCTTCAAATACCTTGAAGACCCTAAGATGCAGAGAATCCTCCAGCTGTGATCTGGACCCCATGCTACAGAGGAAGGCGAAAAACCTCCAGGGCCTCTGCCAATCTACCCTGGAGGAAAATTTCTTCACGCCCCCAAATATGGTAATCAGCTAAACCCTGAGCATGTGGGCAAGAGACACCAGCCAGACACCCAGAAAGTTCTCTATAGTATAAGAAGGATGAATTCAAACTGGAACAGGTACAAAGAAGGGCCACTAGGATGATCCGAGGAATGGAAAACCTGTCTTATGAAAGGAGACTCAAGGAGCTTGGCTTGTTTACCTTAACCAAAAGAAGGCTGAGGGGGGACATGATTGCACTTTTTAAATATATTAGAGGGATAAATACCAGGGAGGGAGAGGAATTATTTAAGCTTATTTCCATTTGTTCTTGTGTCCACATTGGTATTGAGCTTAAATAATTCCTCTCCCTCCCTGGTATTTATCCCTCTAATATATTTAAAGAGTGCAATCATGTCCCCCCTTCAGCCTTCTTTTGGTTAAGGTAAACAAGCCAAGCTCCTTGAGTCTCCTTTCATAAGACAGGTTTTCCATTCCTCGGATCATCCTAGTGGCCCTTCTTTGTACCTGTTCCAGTTTGAATTCATCCTTCTTAAACATGGGAGACCAGAACTGCACACAGTATTCCAAATGGGGTCTCACCAATGCCTTGTATAATGGCACTAACACCTCCTTATCCCTACTGGAAATACCTCGCCTAATACATCTCAATATCGTATTAGCCTTTTTCACGGCCATGTCACAATGGCGGCTCAGAGTCATCCTATAATCAACCAGGACTCCGAGGTCCTTCTCCTCCTCCATTACTTCCAACTGATGTGTCCCCAGCTTATAATTAAAATTCTTGTTATTAATCCCTAAATGCATAACCTTACATTTCTCACTATTAGATTTCATCCTATTGCTATCACTCCAATTTACAAGGTCATCCAGATCTTCCTGTATGATATCCCGATCCTTTTCTGAATTGGCAATAACCTCCCAACTTTGTGTTATCCTCAAATTTTATCCGGACACTTCCACTTTTGGTGCCAAGGTCAGCGATAAAAAGATTATATAAAATTGGCCCCAAAACTGATCCCTGAGGAACTCTGCTATTAACCTTCCTCCAACCTGACAGTTCACCTTTCAGTATGACCCGCTGTAGTCTCCCCTTTAACCAGTTGCTTATCCACCTCTCAACTTTCATATTAATCCCTATCTTTTCCAATTTAACCAATAATTCCTCATGTGGTACTGTATCAAATGCCTTACTAAAGTCGAGGTAGATTAGATCCACTGCATTTCCTTTATCTAAAAAATCTGTTACTTTCTCAAAAAAGGAGATCAGGTTGGTTTGGCACGATCTACCTTTTGTAAAGCCATGTTGTAATTTGTCCCAATTGCCATTAGCCTCAATGTCTCTAACTACTTTCTCCTTCAAAATTTTTTCCAAGATCTTGCATACTACAGATGTTAAACTAACAGGCCTATAGTTACCCAGGTCGCTTTTTTTCCCCCTTTCTTAAAAATAGGAACTATATTAGCAATTCTCCAGTCAAATGGTACAACCTGAGTTTAGAGATTTCTGTTATTTATTTGACACTCTGGACCCCTTGCTCCATTCATCTGAAGTAGTGAGTTATGCCCACAAAAGCTCATGATATCATCTACATTTTTGTTAGCATCTAAGGTGCTGCAGGACCATTCATTGTTTAAGCTTTTTCACTTGGGCTGTGTCCAGACTCAGGGGTTTTAAATCGAAAGAACGCGGCTTTTCTTTCGACGGCGGTAAACCTCATTTCACGAGGAAGAACGCCTTCTTTCGAAAGTGCTTCTTTCGAAAGAAGGCGTTCTTGAATGTAAATAGGGCTTCTTCGAAAGAGAGCATCCAGACTCACTGGGTGCTTTCTTTCGAAAAAGCGGCTTGCTCTTTCGAAAGTTCCGCGTGCAGTCTAGACGCTCTCTTTCGAAAGAGGCTTGCAGTCTAGACATAGCCTTATGGACTAACCTGGCTTCCCTTCTAAGACTTCTATATCCTGTTTGAGATAGATGAATTGCACAAAGCTATGTTGCTCCATTTTCATTTCTACATAATATCTTCCTTGCCTTTTTTTCCCTTTTAAAATAAACAAGGTGGGGGGAGGGGCAGGAAATCTCACCTCATAGTCCTTAGGATTTTGATCTGCAAACATATCCAAGACAGGCTGTACATCAGCTACTTCATGAGGAAACAGTTGGAGGAAAATTTTATACCCTCGTACCTACCAGAGAAATAACTTCATAGTTTAATAAAACATGTAAAAGGGCAAAAATACAAAGACGATTTTTGGAAGCATCTTGCATATGATGTTCAATAGATACAGTAGTAATATACAATAGTGATGTTTATTAGCTTTCAAAGAATATAATATCTTTAAATACTAAAAATGATTCAAATTCTAGAAAATATGACATATGAGATAAGATTGAAGAAATGGTTTTGTTTAGTCTGGAAAAGAGAACACAGAGAAGTCATGATAATATTTTCAAGCACCTGAAAGGAGGAAGGAGAAAAAAAATTATCTGAGGATTGAACAAGAAGCAATAGGCTTAAATAGCAGCAATGGAGGTTTAGGTTGGAGAATAGGGAAAAATATTCCTTCCTGTCACGGTGGTTAGCCACTGAAATAAATTGCCTAGAAAGGATGTGGAATCTCCATCATTGGCAATTTTTAAGAGCAAATTAGACACCTGTCAGGAACATGCAGCCCACGGCCTAATTGTTTGTGGCCCGCGGTGCAGTTTGAGTTTACATGGGGCTCAACATGTGGCCCACAGGTGGGTTCCTTTGAACATGACCTCCGCTGGGAACACACTCCACAACAGCGAGGTGTCTCCCAGGTGGGGTGAGAATTGAAAGACACAAATGAATGGGCTGTCCGGAACAGATGGGTACAGGATGTCGGCGTTTCTAGCCCCTAGGGAGGAGGTGCCAGGAGTGCCAAGGCATTGTGGGAAGTGCTGGCTGCTTAGCCTTGTGGGAAGTGCTTGAGAGGTGCTGACTGGCTCACACTAGCCACGTTTGGGTCCAGCGCTGGCAACTTAAGGATTAATCTTGGTATTCGTGCCCGTCAGTGTAAAAGAAGCTATTTCCATGTATATGCAACTACACTTAAGTTACAGGCCTCAGCATGTGCTGAAAGTATCGTTGTGGCCCACAGGGCTTCCCTCCCACTCAGAACTATGAGCACACCATCACTGCCCCTCCGCTAATAAGACAGCGGGCAAGTTGAAAAGATGAGCAATCAGAGCACTACCCATATAATGCACCTGCAAATTGGGTGTCTAAAGGTAGCTCTTAAATTGAAGTATTGGGGAGACATGCCACTGCCACACAAAATGGTGCTGAGCCTGGGTGGGGGGCAAGGGGGAAGCAGGGCTGAGATGACCAAGTGATCGAGTGGGGTGGCAGCCAGAGGCCCATACATAGCACGCGGCTGGCAAAGGAACCATGAAATTTGTGTTTTGCATATGTGTATTCAAGATGCTACAAATTCTAGCCTCACTGAAGCCAAAAGCAAACTCCAAATTATCAGGATTTGGCTATGAGTGCTTAAGCATTAATGTAGTCTGCAATCCTACTAGTGGTAAAATCATATGAATTCCCATTTTGAACCTATTGAGCAATGAACACTTTTGCTGAATGAAAGGAGTTATATAATTTGTCTTCTCTGATTTTTAAGATCTTTTACCACAGTGGAGCCACACTAAAAAGTGATAGGTCATATGGTAGCAACTATGAAGTGGGAAGAGGTAACTGGCTCCATGGATACGGGAAAGTCAGTGGATGTGATATACCTTGACTTTAGCAAAGCTTTTGATACGGTCTCCCACAATATTCTTGCCAGAAAGTTAAGGGAATATGGATTGGATAAATGGACTTCAAGAGGGACAGAAAGCTGGCTAGAATGTTGGGCCCAACAGGTAGTGATCAACGGCTCGATCTCAGGTTGGCGGTCAATTTCTAGCGGAGTGCCCCAAGGATCTGTTCTAGGACCGGTTTTGTTCAACATCTTTATTAATAACTTGGATGAGGGGGCTATATTGCCCCCTCAGCAAAATTGCAGATGACACTAAGCTGGGGGAGAGGTAGATACGCTGGAGGGCAGAGATAGGATCCAGAGTGACTTAGACAAATTGGAGGATTGGGTCACAAGAAATTTGATGAGGTTCAACAAGGATAAGTGTAGAGTCCTACACTTGGGACGGAAGAATCCCAAGCATTGTTACAGACTGGGGTTTGAATGGCTAAGTAACAGTTTAGCAGAAAAGGACCTGGGGATTACAGTGGATGAGAAGCTGGATATGAGTCAACAGGGTGCCCTTGTAACCAAGAAGGCTAATGGCATATTAGAGTGCATTAGTTGGAACATTGCCAGCAGATCCAGATAAGTGATTATTTCCATTTATTCGGCTATGGTGAGGGCAGATCTGGAGTAGTGTGTACAGTTCTGGGCCCCCCACTATAGAAAAGTTGTGGTCGCATTAGAGAGGGTCCAGCGGAGGGCAACCAAAATGATTAGGGGGTGGGAGCACATGACCTCTGAGGAGACACTGAGGGATTTGAGTTTGTTTAGTCTTCAAAAGAGAAGAGTGAAGGGGGGGGTTGATTTAGGAAGCCTTCAGCTTCATAAAGGGAGGTTCTAAAGAGGATGGAGAAAGGTTGTTCACAGTAGTGAAGGATGGCAGAATAAGGAGCAATGGTCTCAAGTTACAGTGGGGGAGGTCTAGGTTGGATATTAGGAAAAACTATTTCATTAGGAGGGTGGTGAAGTACTGGAATGGGTTACCTAGGGAGGTGGTGGACTCTAATCAACACTATGAAAAAAAAAATGGGTAAAAACATTACACTTTCACAATCTTTTAAAATCTATTTTTATGTGGTCTAAAATACCAACAGTGCAAATCAGAAATCTATACTGTTATTTTTAATTCAAAACTGCAATATTTTGAAATATAATCACTCCACATATTTTATAAAGAAAATCATTCTTAACCAACAAAAAAGTTATTAAAAGTTTCTACATTGTTAAAACTCACTTATACCTTTGTGATGATGTAAAGAAATTTAAAAGCCAGATGTACTAGTGGAGAAGGTGAGCTGTTATCTCGTACTATATCCAGCAATAAATGCATCATCCACTCTAGAGAAGGGGGAAGACGTGGGGCGGGGTAGGGGAAGAAAAAACACACAGGAAGTATGAAAATTAGTTTGCTTGTTTCAAATCATGAAAAGTTAGGAAGTGTCTGTATAACAATATTTGCATGCATTTTAAAAGTTTAGCAGCCTATGTCAAAGCATATACACCACATACATACAAAGACAATGTTCCTACCTAGGTGAGAATCCAACAAGTGAGGTTGTTCCTGGTACTTGTCCATTATAACTGAAAAAAGAGATTTAAAAGATTCAAGTGAAATGTCTTAATTAGGCTAAAGATATAGGAGACAGGAGTGTGACTTCCATCTCACATATACACCTGCACTAGCTTGATAAGAGCTTATGTGAGTATAAATAGCAGTGTAGCCACAACAGCATAGATAGTGGGGGATGGCTTAACTGGGAGAAGTACAAACCTGCCAGGACCCCTAGGATACACACTCAGCACTTGTCTGTGCTACTATTAGACATGAGAGCTGGCAACCATACCCTTAGCTTATAGTGCAGAGTGAAAAAAGTGTTCACTTTCTTTAAATGTATCCTCTGGTACAAACTTCTTTAATGATTAAATGCTGGCACTAGGGATGTAAAAGTGTACACATTTAAACAACTAATAAATGAGCCTGGGCCCATCAGTTAACCTCCACACTTACACACAAGCCTACTTCCCCGCCTCCCTCCTGCACTGCTGCATCTGCTTTTAATCCGGCTCCCTGAGAGCTCTGGCTACCACCTGCTCCTGCAGGGAGCAGGGAGCTACTTTCCCTCTCCCCACCCTCGCTCTGATGCATCGTGTAAACATGCAATTGCTGAAATTTTCAGGGTTACACATTTACCTTAATAAACGCATTTTAACATCTAACACCCTCCATTGCCTATAACGAGTACCAAAGAGCACAAAATTCTCAAGGAGTATCACGCCAGTATCATGAATCCTGCCCATTACTGTAGCATGAAGTTCATACTAAGACACCTACAGATCCATACACTTCCCTCTAAGGAAGAGATGGACAAACTTTTTAGCCAATGGCCATATCAGGGTATGGCAATTGTACGGAGGGTCATGAATGCTCATTAAATAGAAGTTGGGATGTGTGGTGGTATGGGCTCCAGCTGAGTGTGTGAGCGCTGGAGTGGGGCAGAAAAGAGGGCACAGGCAGGGGGGGACTCCAGGTTGTGGCAGAGGGCTGAAGTGCTGAAGAGAGAGAGGGCTCTAGCTGGGCATGCAGGCTAAGGGGAGGGGTTGAAGATGAGGGGTGTAACTTGCAGGAGGAGGATCTGGGCTGGGACTGAGGGGTTCAGAAGATGGGAGGGCTAGGAGCTCAGAGTGCAGGCTGTTAGCTAAGGACTTCAGAAAACAGCAACTGCATTGTTTCACATTTGGAAAGATTCTTCATAACAATGGCCATACTGGATCAGACCAAAGGTCTATCTAGCCCAGCACTCTGTCTGCCAACAGTGGCTAATGCCAGATGCCCCAGAGAGAGGGACCACAACAGGTAATCCTTATGTGATCCCCCTCCTGTCACCCATATCCAGACAAACAGAGGCTAGGGACACCATTCCTACCCATGCTGGCTAATAGCCATTGATGGACCTAACCTCCATGAATCTATCTAGCTCTTTTTTGAACTCTGTTAAAAATCCTAGCCTTCACCACACCCTCTGCCAAGGAATTTCACAGGTTGACTGTGCACCGAGTGAAGAAAAAATTCTTTTTGTTTGTTTTAAACCTGCTACCTAATAATTTCATTTGGTGACTCCTAGTTCTTATATTGTGGGAACAAACAAATAACTTTTCCTTATTCACTTTTTCCACACCAGTCATGATTTTATAGACCTCTATCATATCCCCCCTTACTCTCCTCTTTTCTAAGATGATAAATCCAAGTCTTTAATCTCTCTTCAGATGGGACCCTTTCCAAATCTCTAATCATTTTTGTTCACCTTCTCTGAACCTTTTCCAATGTCAATATATTTTTTTTGAGATGAGGTGACCACATCTATACGCAGTATTCAAGATGTGGGCGTACCATGTGTGATGGCGCGTTGGGGTTTTCCCCTCTTTTAAGTGCTTTAAAATGGATTCCCTCCATGATTTTTCTGGTAATTGAGGTAAGGCTGACCCGTCTGTAGTTCCCTGGATTGTCCTTCTTCCCTTTTTTAAAGATGGGCACTACATTTGCCTTTTTCCAATCATCCCATTTCCCTCTGCTCCAGCTGACTGTTCTCCTTCCCTGAGCCTTTCATCCTCCTTAACAGCACTGGGGCTGTATGACTGGAGGGGAGACAGTTCTACAGTAAGGATGTTAAATATTGATTAACTGAATAGTCATGTAACCTCATGAAATTTTATCGGTTAGTCGACTATTCTATAGTCTCTGGGGACCGGCTGCCTGTTGCCCTGCGCGGCTGTTTCTGAGAAAGAGACAGCAGCATCGAGTGGCAGCAGTCCCTGCCTGTGAGGGTGGAGGGGGTCTGAGCTCCCAGACCCAGCACGAGCCAGAACTGAGCCAGGCTGTCTGCTTGACTCGTAATAAACTTGAAATGCACAGCTGAAACGGGAGCAGGTCCCAGACCCAGCGTGAGCCAAGTTGCTGGCCAGCCTGCTAAAAAAATTGACTGACAGGGAGAGGGAAATGCCTGCAGTCTATAGCAAGCACTAGAAACTGAAACCACTATAGAAATAGTCTAAAGCAGTGCTTCTCAACTAGTAGTACTAATACCCTTAGGGGTACTTGAGAGAAGTCGGGGGAGGGGTATGTCAATACAACTGAAATCTGAATTTTTGTTTTAAGTTTTACAGCACTTTATTATTTTTGTACTTTTTACACCCAAAAATGTCATCTCCGCCTGGCTACGATTAAGTTGTTTAAACAAATGTGCTGCAATGGTAGAAAAAAATGTGTGTCTGAAAACTGTAGGAACTGGGAGTACTTATAATTTTTTCTTTGAAAAGTGAGTACTTTATAAAAAAAGGTTGAGAAATACTGTTCTAAAGAACCCCTGATAGTCAAATACTGTACACCTGGAAGAGATTTCCAAATCACCGACTATATCATAGTCACAGAAATGTTGTTTTTTCAGGGAAATTCTTTCTGATTGCAAACAACATCTATTATGCATTTTAGTATCTGTAATACCAGGAATGCAACCAGTCACAACCTCTAAAAATAAAGCATCCTTAACTTAAAATCTAAAGCAATCTAAAGAATCTAGAGCAATGTGAGTTAGAATTCAGGGGAAAAAATCATGCAACAAAAAAGTTTTGCATCAAAGTTAACCTGGGTAATTTTTGAAATTTGCTGAAGAAGGAAAATGTCTAATCAATGATGGACCAAAAAAATTAAGATGAAAAAACAATGGCCTTAGCCAAAACAACAAGAAAAACAATTAAACAACACCAAGTTCTAGAAAATAAGTCCAAGCAAAACTGGATCATCTCAGCAATAATGAAGCATGCTGAGATGGAGATGTGACATATAAATATTATTACTATAGAACAAACAACTGGCAGGGAAGTCAAGATACTAGCCTAAATGGTGATGTCTTTCAGCCTCACTCTATTATCTGAAACATCTCTTTTCTTCTCCATCTGACTCTGGTTCTTCTTCTATAATTCCAAAAGCATAAGAATGGCCATACAGGCAGTCCCCGAGTTACGCGGATCCGACTTATGTCGGATCCGCAGTTACGAACGGGGCCCTTCCTCTCCCTGGTCTCCAGCAGACCAGGGAGAGGAAGCAAAGCGGCGGAACACGCGGGCAGCGGACAGGGCTGTCCGCTGCCCACGTGCTCCGCGGCTTGGCTCTGCTTTGCTCTGCTTTGCCCCCCCATCCCCCCCCGTCCCCCTGGTCTGCAGACCAGGGGGACGGGGGGGGATGGGGGGGCAAAGCAGAGCAAAGCAGAGCCAAGCCGCGGAGCACGTGGGCAGCGGACAGCCCTGTCCGCTGCCCGCGTGTTCCGCCGCTTTGCTTCCTCTCCCTGGTCTGCTGGAGACCAGGGAGAGGAAGGGCCCCGTTCGTAACTGCGGATCCGACATAAGTCGGATCCGCGTAACTCGGGGACTGCCTGTATGGCCATTCTTATGCTTTTGGAATTATAGAAGAAGAACCAGAGTCAGATGGAGAAGAAAAGAGATGTTTCAGATAATAGAGTGAGGCTGAAAGACATCACCATTTAGGCTAGTATCTTGACTTCCCTGCCAGTTGTTTGTTCTATAGTAATAATATTTATATGTCACATCTCCATCTCAGCATGCTTCATTATTGCTGAGATGATCCAGTTTTGCTTGGACTTATTTTCTAGAACTTGGTGTTGTTTAATTGTTTTTCTTGTTGTTTTGGCTAAGGCCATTGTTTTTTCATCTTAATTTTTTTGGTCCATCATTGATTAGACATTTTCCTTCTTCAGCAAATTTCAAAAATTACCCAGGTTAACTTTGATGCAAAACTTTTTTGTTGCATGATTTTTTCCCCTGAATTCTAACTCACATTGCTCTAGATTCTTTAGATTGCTTTAGATTTTAAGTTAAGGATGCTTTATTTTTAGAGGTTGTGACTGGTTGCATTCCTGGTATTACAGATACTAAAATGCATAATAGATGTTGTTTGCAATCAGAAAGAATTTCCCTGAAAAAACAACATTTCTGTGACTATGATATAGTCGGTGATTTGGAAATCTCTTCCAGGTGTACAGTATTTGACTATCAGGGGTTCTTTAGAACAGTATTTCTCAACCTTTTTTTATAAAGTACTCACTTTTCAAAGAAAAAATTATAAGTACTCCCAGTTCCTACAGTTTTCAGACACACATTTTTTTCTACCATTGCAGCACATTTGTTTAAACAACTTAATCGTAGCCAGGCGGAGATGACATTTTTGGGTGTAAAAAGTACAAAAATAATAAAGTGCTGTAAAACTTAAAACAAAAATTCAGATTTCAGTTGTATTGACATACCCCTCCCCCGACTTCTCTCAAGTACCCCTAAGGGTATTAGTACTACTAGTTGAGAAGCACTGCTTTAGACTATTTCTATAGTGGTTTCAGTTTCTAGTGCTTGCTATAGACTGCAGGCATTTCCCTCTCCCTGTCAGTCAATTTTTTTAGCAGGCTGGCCAGCAACTTGGCTCACGCTGGGTCTGGGACCTGCTCCCGTTTCAGCTGTGCATTTCAAGTTTATTACGAGTCAAGCAGACAGCCTGGCTCAGTTCTGGCTCGTGCTGG